CGTCTCTACTTCTTCGCTTCCCTCCCTATTGCCTGGCGACTGAGATGTAATCCTATGGGCACAGGACGGGCAGGGTAACTACTTGTGTGTGTTTTATTATAGATCTGACTTTGTTTCTTCAATTCTTCATCTAAATCTCTCAATTCGATCTTACCAACTAAGTCTTCAGCTGTAGATTATTTTTAGGCATCTAGTAGTTATCTGTAGATTAATCATGTTAATTATTAGAATGTATTGGTGGTCCTCTAAGATATAACTTGCTGTTCCAGAATTATATGGTGGCATCAAGTAAACGTCTTCTGAGTCGTCTATTTTATGTCCTGTGCTCATTTTAAGATGGATATTTCAGGTGTAGATAATAGATACATATTACCTGAACTTTAATATTAGGGGTAACTAAAAGTGGGGAGGGTGGGTGGGGAGGGATTAAGATAATTTAATGATAAAAAAGACGCCTTTATAGCATATAGATATTTCCTGTATTCTTTGTGGGATATGAAACCTCCATTTCAACGTGTGTAACTCTGTGCTTTCCGTAAAACTGTATAATTTAGTAATCTTTATCTTTACTATCACTTGGGTTACTCCTAAAAGGCGTCATGTTGTCTACTTTTTGGTGCAGATTGTTTACCCTAAAATTTTATCTTTTGACTAGAGGACCCCGTGGCTGTTTTACTTTTATAGGAGAATCTTGTCTTTCTGAAAAAGGAATCCTGGTCTGTCTCCAAACAGCATATAAAACCTTTTTATGTAATTCTATATCAAGCAAGGAAAGCTGACCAACAGGTTTCTTTTAAAAACTGACTGGATAACTTCAACTTTTAAATTCCACTTTTTATATTCTATCAGTTAATTTTATTTAGTCTGTATTTCTTACTAGGATGTGAACACTTTAAAACTTATTAAAACGATTTATCGGTTTTCTGTTATGAGCCTTGTTTAGTCTTCTCAATTTGTCACTTTTAACACTTTCATGTCATTCTTGCCATTTAAACCATCGACCTTTGATTACATTTGGTAGATACTTGTGGATGAACCATTTTAACTTAAGACTACAAAATTCATATCTAGGTTAATGTACTTGATGTTGATTATATTTATTTAGTTTATGTATTTTTTGGTTATCGATCTCTATTGCCAATGTGTCTGAGGGTTCTCTATTAATTTCAATTTATTTGTAATCTTTTTTAACTCTTTTAACATCACAAGACACGTCATTGTCACATCTAATTCTATTAAACCGGGCAACTTCCCATTCTGTACAATGTATGTATGTTCAGTAAGTTCAGAATTGAATAACCAGTTATGAAAAAATTAAAACCATCAGTACCAAATTTATCTTTCACCAATAAACTAGCTAGTTGAAATTCATTTCGAATAAGGAGGTTTTAACCGATATTACACGAGAGATTAATTAACCATTAATTATCCAGTTTACAGGAATAAGGAAAGACAAAATATGCACACGATGTAGTTTTGTTACACGCTAGATATTAATTTATTTTAATTATCAAAAAATATTTGTCTGTAGAACATGTCATGAATGTACGAATAAAATATTCAAAGAAATTTAAATTTCATTCGACGATTCTCACCATACTAACGTCAAATCAATGGTGATATTTACTTCATAACATTACTGTTATCATCTATGAAGGATCAAAACTAATGATCTTGCAGTTCCTAGTCTGATTCAAATATCTATGTACACCTTTTCCTTTATTTTGACTTGTATTATTATTATTTTACAATCAATGACACTTTTGAACATTAAGTATATTAAATCAGTGCAGCTATATAACTCAAAGAAAGGGAAATATAAAAAAAACAGGAAGTAAAGTTCGTTTATTGAAAAAAAGTTGACTTACACAGCTTAAATACATTTCATTAAAAACAAACAAACATATTTTGCTCCAGTAAAAAATCGTTTGAAACTTTTCACCCACCCAATATACCATTCTCTTAGGCTGTGATAAATAAGGTTACAGGATGAATAGTTCTGTAAATGTAAACATACAAGATTTTGAAAACATGCAATAATAATATAAAAATAGTGAACCATGTTACAGTTTCAGCTGCTTGATTTTTTTTTACTAGCATCATGAAATCTTTGGGATTAATGCCTATTGTAGTTACGTAGACATAAGATTCAAAATTTTACGAAATATTTATTAACAGCGTTTTCGTTGATAGTCATTGTCAAGTCTTTCTAATGAAGAAAACCAGAATTAAAGCTTATCCCTTACCATCACTAGCAGTCTTTCTAACAAAAAAATCCAGGTTCGAATCCCAGTCCCTATCATCCAGTCCTTTTAACAAAGAAATCTAGGATCAAATCCAGCCCCTACCATCCGAACAGTACTCCCCAGAATTTCCCTGAAGATGGTAGCAGGTTAGCAACCAAAGCGTAAAATAAAAACTAGTTAAGTATCTACTATTTAATACAAACAATTACCTATAAGAAAGAAAGCCAACTTCTTGATGATGAAACTTTGTGTCCACAATGAGTTGCCACGTGAATCTGGTGCTTTTTTTAGTTCGAAAAGTGTGGAAATAATTTGTTTGCTCTTCAGCTTCTGTTATAATATGGTATTTAACAACAATAGAGGTTTTAAAATACTACGTTAATGTATGGAATTTTATAAAAGTAATTATGATAGGAAAGAATTGCTTATTACTATTAATAAACTTGAACATGCTTACATTGTATATGATATCATAATACATACATATTATAAACCAACCATTTAAATCCAAATAATCACAATATTCGTACGTGACACCACACAGTACGTTCTCGTTACGATTGTATATACATGTTATTTTCATTTAACACAAATTATAAATAATCTTAATTTAATGAATTTTCGTTAAACCTTGTTCTTTTAACTTAAGATTTCCAGTGGTGGGGTCCACATGAATCCCATCAACTTATATTTAGTTATTTTTTTAAGTATTAATGCATCAACTTGTTCGTGACTCCATGACTTTGATGATTATAAAGCCCCTAAAAACATATCAGTGATTTCAAAAAATTTAAATATGAATATTATCAATATTGCAATTAATTTCACTAATTATTTTCTAGAGTAGTTACTTTTATATTTTATACAGAAGACGAGCGACTTCGAACCATTCCGTTAGTCAGTTCTTTAGAATGAGGTATGTAATTAGCAAAAAGTAACATAACTCATGTAACGAAATAATGAACCACGAGTAATTTGATGGTTCGATAACTAAAGAAAATAGATATCAGTTTCGTTAACTTTCGTACTTACTTATTAAGTTTCACTTATTCCAGTCGGTAAATTTCGTGTAATATTATATAAGAAGGCATTAATCATTTGGATTTATCGTTATTATTTCTGTTTTCGTAATAATTATTATTATTCGGAATTGAAATGATGTCATCTTTGATTCCTTTTATAACCATACTTTATCTATCTCCTCAATGACAATTTGCCTTCAAAGTACCACTAAGGTTTTAACGTTATCTTGACTAGTGTCAATAGTTTTATATCAAATAACTTGGGCACAGAACGAAATTCTTTATGTCATTACTAACAACTCTGATAAGTAACAATCGTCTTTTCGCTAACATCACGAGCTGTAATCACAGTGAATAAAACAAAAAATAAAAGCAGATCCCAATAAGACAGAGTAAACTAAGTTGTATTTCATATTTTCCTAATATAAATTTGGTTATTTCGCAGTACCATCACGACATCTAGGGTGAACAAAGTTTAATAGTCATACAATGCTATCGCCCCGTTTTTAAAAGTGGATTTTCTTAAGGCTATATGTAAGATTATACAACTAACTGTGGAATACATATATAGAAAAAACACTAATATTTGATGAATAGAAAGAAAATTATTCTCTCGTTTGTGTTTTTTGCGCAAGATGATTTTCCGTTAAAACTCAAGCAATATCACACACACATATGTAAACATATTTTGTACGAATCGCAATTTATTCCATAAACTTATTTTTTCAGTATAAAAGTTTGTTTGTGACTTAACACATTTCTTTCCCGACACAATGTTTGTTGTTGTTGTTGGG